CAAACCGACTGGTGCTGGGGATGAACTAGGTCCTCTGCAGGCAATACAGGCATAATTTTGCCTTCTCATCTTTGGTCTTACTTCACTGTATCACTGTCACTGTCACCCCGTTGTTCATCGATTTGCTCGAGCGGGCCCAGTAACGTCTCCATTGGAGACTTTGTTGTTACTGTGTCTGGCATATCGAATACGTCACGGGGAGCTTGCCAGGCTCTGCCATGCGGGCGAGATACTCTCAGTAGCTTGCCGGGCTCTCCGAGAGGGGCAGAGGAATCGAACTCGGGTCAGCAGTGTTGGCTGCGTGCAAGGCAAATGCCCTACCGCTGTGCTATCGCTCCAGCCCTGGTCTTACTTATTCCTTCAGAAAGCAAGCCCTGGGGACCAGACTGTGCAGCGGCTCACTCAGGCTCAATCCCTGGCACCCCATATGGTCTCCCAAGCCCGAGCAGAAGGGATTCCTGAGCAGTGCGAAATAGAAGCCCCAAATAAAAACAAAAAGTCCAAGTGTAAAGAAAGCCCCGAGTGTTCACACCTATGACTCCGACTCATTGTAACTTGCCAATGACATTAGAAATGTAGGTGCTCATGCCATATGAAAGTTGGACCATATGCAATATACCCTAAACTTACAGGGATGTTTATAAATTATTTTTTTCTGAATAAAAGTGGGGGGGGACTGAAGTGCAATAAAGTCAGTACAATCAAAGGGAGGAAGACAAAGAGGGAGCTTGTGAGAAAATTTGATTTCTACTCTGACGACAGCTTTCGTGCTGTCTCTAGCCACTGCCCTTGGACAGGGGATCCCTATGCTGAAAATTCTATGCATGTGCGGCCTAAGCCTTTTGTTTTTTCCCTAGTCCTAGGTACTGAAATTTCTTTGTTTTTTGGTTTGGGGGCCATACCCAGTGGTACTCAGGGCTTACTCTGGTTCTGCACTCAGGGACCACTTCTGGCCAGCTCGTGGACCACATGGGATGCCAGGGATTGAACCCAGGTCAGCTGCGTGCAAGGCAAAACCCTCCCCGCTCACTCCAGCCCTCTAGACTGGAGTTTCTGAAGTAGAAACTTTCAGTCTCGGTTGAAACCAAAAAAAGGGATAAAATTCCTTACGGCAATCAGCAATCCAACTTAAATTCTTGTCTAAAAGAGAACTTCATGGGGCTGGAGCGATAGCACAGCGGGTAGGGCGTTTGCCTTGCATGTGGCCGACCTGGGTTCGATTCCCAGCATCCCATATGGTCCCCCGAGCACTGCCAGGAGGAATTCCTGAGTGCAGAGCCAGGAATAACCTCTGAGCACCGCTGGATGTGACCCAAAAAAGCAAATAAATAAATAAATAAATAAATAAAAGAGAACTTCACAATTGAAGCCAGCATGATCTTGTGCATTCTACAGTCTTATCTATACTGTCCATCCTTCGACCAAACATTTTACAAATCTTTAGAACCTTATTTGTTGGGGGAGGGATGCGGAGGGGGATGGTAACTCCCAAGTGGTGCTTGAGTACCACGTGGTGAAATGCCAAGGATCAAACCCAGGTCTCGCGCACGCAAGGCGTATATATGCTCACGATTTGAGCAGTCTCCCCTCTTCTTAATTCTGCTGTTCTCTAGAAATAATACCTGCTTTCCAAACCATACGGCAGTGTGATCTGTCGTGGGTTGAGGAAATCGCAAATGCGGCCAACTTTCTGCTGGAGGATTTGTCACTGTTGGGGGATTTCTACCAGGCGACGGGATGAAGTAATGCTGCAGTTTTACATTTTTAGCTGTTTCCTCTCCCCATCTCCCAACTTCCAGGGCATGATAATCTGTAGTACTGGCTGGCAGTACCAGAAGGCAGGCTATTCTGAAGCAGTCTTTTAAATGAGGTAATTTTGCATAAATAAACATTTTTCGGGTTGGCTACTTTGGGGCCCTACCCAACAGTGCTCAGGGGTTACTCCCGGCCCAGTGCATCTCCTGGTGATGCTCAAGGGATCGTGTGGTGCCAGGGCACCCAGCAGGCGAAGTATGTGCACAGTCTGTTGATCTATTTCTTGGCTCCTGTTTCCAATTTTCAGGCCTCAAAGTTAATTATTTTTTGGTGCTCAAAGGCCAATACCAGTAATGCCAGGGGACCACATTCTAGCATTTCCCTTCGAGCAGAAAACATCTTTTTTCTCTTTTTTTCTTTTTGGGTCACAACCAGCGATGCACAGGGATTCCTCCTGGCTCTGCATTCAGGAATCACTCCTGCTGGTGCTCAGGGGACCATATGGGATGCTGGGAATCGAACCCGGGTCAACCGTGTGCAAGGCAAACGCCCTACCCACTGTGCTATCGCTCCAGCCCCCAAACATCTATTTTTATTGTTTTTTTCTTTTCTTTTTGGGTGATACCCAGCAATGCACAGGGTTTACTCCTGGCTCTGCACTCAGGAATTACCCCTGGCAGTGCTCAGGGGACCATATGGGATGCTGGGAATCGAACCTGGGTTAGTCGTGTGCAAGGCAAATGCCCTACCCACTTTGCTATTGCTCCAGCCCCAAAACATCTGTTTTTAAAAAATACAACACAGTATTACCAACCATATTGCTTTGGGCTAAGAATTCTGCCCGGGGCCAGAGAGATAGTATAGCAGGTAAGGTTCATGCAAGGCAAACAGTCGAGTATGGTTTAATGCCCAGCACTCCAGATAGTTCCCCAAGAACCACCAGAAGCGATCCCCGAGCAAAACCAGGAGTTAGCCCTAAACACCACCAAGTGTGGCTCCAAACCACGAGGAAAAGAAAAAAAGGGGGTTGGTGGGGAGTGGGGAAGAATTCTTCCCAGGACCAGGAATGACCACAACTGAAAGTAAACTTTCTACTTTCTGAAACTAGTAAATTGTCATTGCAGAATGATCCAGCAGTTGCGAATAACTTTTAACTTGTTACGGACCTTGACTGGCTTAGGAGAGCCTAAAATTAGAGGCAGCAAATCCAAGAAAACTGGGCAGTATCCAGGTGGCTGTATACAATTACAGCAGCAGCAACGCTGACACTTCACACCCACCAGCAGGCTTAGCACAGCCCGGCAGCCAGTGTGAGCGCAGGCCCTGGCAACTGTCACAGGCTGAAATGAGAGCGTCAACCCCAGCCCACACCGGAGTACAGCGCTGGTATTTTCAGGGACAATGAGCCCTGGCTACCCTCTGGTACCCCTGGCTACATTCATCCTCTGGTCTAGCCAGGAAGGTAGTCCAGTCCGAGCAGCCGGCCCAAAGGCCCCGGTGGCAGTCCCACCCCGATGGTGGGAGGGATATTGGGATCACTGGTGGTGGAAAATGGGCACTGGTGGAGGGACGGGTACTTGATCGTTGTATAACTGAAACCCAAGCACAAAAATTTGTAAGTCTACAACTGTACCTCATGGTGTTTCACTAATAAAAATTAAAAATAAAATAAATAAATAAAATAAAAACAGGGAGGGCCGGAGTGACAGTACAGCGGGTAGGGTGTTAGCCTTACATGAGGCCGACCCAGGTTCAATCCCCGGCATTCCAGAGAGTCCCCCAAGCACCTCTAGGAGTAATTCCTGAGTGCAGAGCCAGGAGTAACCCCTGAGCATCACTGGGTGTGACCCAAAAAGCAATAAATAAATAAATAAACAAAACAGGGAAATGAGAGTCACGATCAACTTGTCTTCAATCAAGTCATGGCCATGAAAGTCATAAGCAAATATTTATGATATAATACTACCTCTTCTTTTCCATTTTCTTTTCAGTTTTTTTTTGACCATACCTGGTGGAGCTCTGGGCTAACTCCTGGCTCTGTGCTCAGGGGTCACTCCTGAAGAGGCTCGGGCGGGACCATATCTGGTGCTGGGGATTGAACCTGGGTTGGCAAGGCAAGAGCCCGACCCGCTGTACAATAACTCTGGCCCCACAGCTAGGCTTTCTTGATTCCTTCCTTCTCTTACTCTCCCTTAACAAGTTACCAAATTTTCCATACCGTTGACGGTAGGAAAGGGTAATGATTTTTAATTTTTCTATTTTGTATGGCTTCAATTAATGCTCAAATGGAAATTTCCTGGGAAGCAGAAATCTTAGAAATTAATGTACACCTTATGCACTACATTCCAATACTAAAAAATAAACTGAATGATGTGGATGATTATTTGGTTCTATGTCTACCTTTTTTTGATTTTTTGTTGTTGTTTTGAGGCCATATCTGGCTGTGCTCAGGGAGCACTCCAGTGGGCTCCAGGCACCATGTGTCGTCCTGGAGATTAAACCTAGATTGGCCACATGCAAGGCAAGTACCTTACCTGCTGTACTATGACACCGTATTGTTCTAATCGTTACGGGTTTGGTTTCTTTGGTTTTGGGCTATATGTGACGGTACTCAGGAATCACTCCCAGCAGAGAAAGGATCATGTGAGGCTGGAGATTAATTAAACCCAGGCTTCCAACATGCAAACCACGAGTTCAGGCCACTGAACGATCTCCTGGCTCACATTTACAATGTTTAGACCCCAAATTTGAGATTCCTGAAACTGCTTAACCAATCCCAGGACTACTAACTTTGAAAACTATTAATTGCGTTCTTTTAGGAGTTCATTTGGTCACACCTGGCTTACTCCTGGCTCCACACCCGGAGATCACTTGAGAGGCTTGGGAGATATGGGGTGCCGGGCATTGAACCTGGATTGGCAATGTGCAAGGAAAGTGCCCAATGTGCTATACTATTGCCTTGGCCCTGAAAACTGTACCTTTGAAAACAAAATGCGTTTTTAATTGGTATACTTATGGGTATAGTCTTTATGAACATGTAAACCTGGAATTTTCTTTTCAGGCTTTTTTTTTTTTTGCTTTTTGGGTCACACCCGGCAATGCACAGGGGTTACTCCTGGCTCATACACTCAGGAATTACCTCTGGCAGTGCTCGGGGGACCATATGGGATGCTGGGAATCGAACCCGGGTTGGCTTCGTGCAAGACAAACACCCTACCCGCTGTGCTATTGCTCCAGCCTCTCAGGCTGAATTTTAGGTCCATTAAATCTCTCTTTGATAGTAGCACATTTACTTCAATAAATTCACAGAGTCATATTAATAGAGCACTGAAGGAAGAAGTATAAATTAAGGGGCTAAGGATGGAGCTCAGACAGAACAGGCTTTGCATGCCAGGGTTTGAAACCTGGTATCACCCACCTCCCCCCAAAAAGTATAAATTAAGAATTTATAGCTCTTTTTTTTCCTGATATACAAGGCACAATTATAATCTCCATCTTATTCATAACTGTAGACACACTCATAGGATTATTACTTCTAATAAGCCAATAGTATCCACATGGGCTAAATAGAAGTACGTCTTGTTTCCACTGGGTATCGATGAAGAGGCCTCTCTGAGCAGCAGGCTAGAGACGGCTCTTCTCACGGGCGTCGGTCCCTCTGCTCCTGGCTGCCTGTCTCTGCTGGGTGCTCTTCACGAACCGGAGCAGATTGACGATGGCAGCAGGTGTCACCCCGGGTATCCGACTGGCAGCCCCAATCTAGGGAATCAAACCAGAAGAGAAAGTTATTCCATCAGATCAAATCCTGTCTCCTTCCTGGTCACAAATGTACATTACAGTGAAGACAGTATTTTATTTATTTATTTATTTGCTTTTTGGGTCACACCCAGCAATGCTCAGGGGTTACTCCTCACTCTGCACTCAGGAATTACTCCTGGCGGTGCTTGGGGGACCATATGGGATGCCGGGGATTGAACCTGGGTCGGCCGCATGCAAGGCAAACGCCCTACCCGCTGTGCTATCTCTCCAGCCCCTGAAAACAAGTATTTTAAAGACTGTTATCTTGGGCTGGAGAAGTGGTATAGGGGTGAAGGTGCATGTCCGGTGGACTGTGGTTCCCTCTTCCCTCTACACAATCCCCAAGCATCAACCCCCTCTGAGCACCATTGGGTGCAGCCTTGAATAAGCGCGTGGGTGGCACAGGTCATCCTCAGCACTGCACGACCTTCCTGGCAATTGCATCCTCCGGGGGCCCTCACACTGAGCCACTGACCCGGTTGGCTGAGAACTGCTGGGAGAGGTCCTGGGGGTCTCCTAAGCACCTCTAGGGAGTCCTGCCCCCAAGCCCCAAATCCCAAAGCCTGTTATCCTAACGCATCTTCAAGATAACTCTATAAAGTAGATAAAATAGATATTGTTTTCCGTGTACAAACTAGGGCAACGGAGGCTCATTCACTATAAAATGAGTGGTGTAAGAAAATCTGTCTGCTTGTTTTGGGGGCCACACCTGGCAGTGCTGGGGACTATTCCTGGCTTGATGCTCAGGGCTGCCCCTGGGGGCTCCAGAGGGACCATGAAGTGTCAAGGACTGAACCCGGGTCTCCTGCACGCTAAGCATGTGCTCCTCCATCTCTCCAGCCCGCCCATGATTTTAAGTTGAGGTAACATAATTTACAATAGTATTAACATTAATCTATTAGCTATACAACATTACTGCACCACACCAAAGTGGTCTCAGATCACATGAGCTACAAGATGTCACAGTATTAATTTCATTTATTTAATTATACTCAACGTAACACGCCAGCAGTATGCTGGGGGGGGGGGCACGCCCCATCACTAATCATCAGTATTTCTGTAGTGAATCTCTTCGGATATTCATTTTAAGGGTGTAAGGAATAACATCGATCTTCATGTCCCTTCAGGTCAGCTTTGTTCCAATGCATCTGCAACAAATGTCTCTTAGAGCCTTATGAGTTTTAGAATTGTGTATAAGGGGCTGTGAACTCTGATGACAGGGGTGTTCACTGAACTGCCAGTGATAATAAAAATGCTCTGGTTAAACCTCTGTGGAAAACGTATGGATACGGTGGAAAATGGTGTGGAAAACGGTGTGTGTGTGTGTGTATGTGTGTATATTCAAATGTCTTCACTGATGCACTGTGATTTACAAAGATGTTCAACTGGCAACTGCATCCTCCGGTTGAGTTTCAGGAATATGATGTTCCAACACCAATCCCTTTTTGAGTGCCCATTTTCCTCCACCAGTATTCTCAGTTTCCCTCCTACCACTTAGCCTGCTTCTATGGCAAGCACCTTTTCCTTTTCTTCTTGTCCCTATGGCTTCCAATACCGTTACTGATACTGTTTTGTGCATTGACACTTTACCACCTTCCAGCATCCCCTTCTCCTCCAGAATGACCACACACGCCCCCTTTACCACTGTCGTAGGTATGGTGCTGGGAAAATGGGTAAGCTACATGCTGAAAAAAAAAAAATGAACTCAGACCTCTTTCTAACACTTTCTAGTATCAGACTGAAACCATAAGGTCCACAGGGGAAAGCATAGGCAGAACTCTTCACGACACTGAAGCTACAGGCATCTTCAAGGATGAGACATCACTGACCAGATGAAACACCAATGACCAAACAAGTGGAAGCGAAGATAAGGAACTGGGACTACATTACACCAAGAAGCTTCTGCCCCTTAACGAAAACAGGGACCAGGATACAAAGACAGCCCACTGAATGGGAGAAATTATTTACCCAACACTCATCTGATAAGAGAGTTCGATTTGATTTATATAAGGCACTGGTAGAACTGCATCAGGAAAAACATCCAACCTCCTCAAAAACTGAGGGGAAGAAATGAACAGAAACTTCCTCAAGAAGATATACAAATGGTGAAAAGGTGCATGGAAAAAATGCATCACTGGGGCTGGAGCGATAGCACAGCGGGGAGGGCTTTTGCCTTGCATGCGGCCAACCCGGGTTCGATTCCCAGCATCCCATATGGTCCCCTGAGCACCGCCAGGGGTGATTCCTGAGTGCAGAGCCAGGAATAACCCTTGTGCCTTGCTGGGTGTGACCCAAAAAGCCAAAAAAAAAAAATCACTCATCAGGGAGACGTGAATCAAAACAGCAATGAGACTGGCACACGTCCAAAGGAACAAAAACTGGTGAGAATGCTGACTGATTAAATCTTTGGCAAACAAAATGGACACGACTCAAAAGTCTAGAAATTGAGCTTCCTCACTCACCTGAGACATAAAGAGAAACAAAATCGAAGTAAACAGACAATGAAGACAAACTGGATGTGAAATGGAGATGAGCAAGGGTGGGACTGGCAAGGTGGCCCAGAGACAATGGGGCAGGGTCTTGGACACTCGGTGGAGGTGGTGAAGGTGTAACAGTTCTGTCCATCAAAATCATGAAACTTAATGCTACTGTAATTATTTAATAATAATAATAATAAAAACTGTAAAACTAAATCAGCTAAATTTTAAAAAAGTATTTCTTAAAATCAACAAACACAGCTACCTAGTGTTTATTAGTATCATTTTAAGTCCAATACTGTATCTTAAAGTTCTCTGGTTTACAGGTGTGTGTGCCCACGTGTGCACTTGCACAGCTGGGGGACCTGTTTGGCTCCCCTCTTTCTCTTAGTCGCTCCCAAGTCAAAAGGATGCAATCTCCAGAAAGGGATCCAAGTGATTTAATAGCACAGTGGGTAGGGCGTTTGCCTTGCACGCAGCCAACATGGCCCACCCAAGTTCGATTCCTCCACTCCTCTCGGAGAGCCCGGCAAGCTACCGAGAGTATCTCGCCCGCACGGCAGAGCCTGGCAAGCTCCCTGTGGCGTATTTGTGTTTGATATGCCAAACACAGTAACAAGTCTCACAATGTCACCGGGCCCGCTCGAGCAAACTGATGAGCAACGGGAGGACAGTGACAGATATTTTTTATTATTATATCATTACTATTATTTTCGCTTTGGGATTAAGTTTTACACATGTGGTACTAGTTTGCACTAATGATTTAGCACATGGACGGGACTAAAGAACAACGATAGTCAATCCAATTATTCTATTTAGACTAAGTTTGATCATCTCATAAGAACAAAACAATATTTAGCATACGAAGTATAAAGAAAAAAAATAGGGGCCGGAGCACGGAAGAAGGAAGGAAGGAAGGAAGGAAGGAAGGAAGGAAGGAAGGAAGGAAGGAAGGAAGGAAGGAAGGAAGGATCGAGCTATTTTTGGCAGTGGATCTCCCAAGCAGTGCAGGTAGGCAGAGAGGGGGACACTTTTGGTGATATTCAGTGCTTCAGTGCATCTGTGAGACTCGGTATTTTTAGTGTGTGTGTGTGTGTGTGTGTGTGTGTGTGTGTGTGTGTTTCGCGGTGGGGGGGGCATACCCAGCAGTGTTCAATACTTATTCCAGGCTTTGCACTTAGGGATCACCCCTGGTGGGGCTTGGAGACCATAAGTGGTGCTGCGGATAGAACCAGGGTCTACGGTGCGCAAGGTAAGTGCCCCACCCACTGTACTATGTCTTGGACCCCTAAGAGATTTTCCGTGTGTGTGTGTGTGTGAGGGGCACACCCCATAATGCTCAGGGTTTCTTCCTGGCTCTGCACTTAGGAATTACTCCTGGTGGTGCCTGGGACCGTTTGACATGCTGAGGAGTGAACCCAGATCGGGCACACGCAAGGCCAACCACCCTACCTGCTCCAACCCTGAGATATTTTTATGTTTATATATATATATTTTTTATTTTTATTTTTTTCTTTTTGGGTCACACCCAGCAACACTCAGGGGTTACCCCTGGCTCTGCATTCAGGAATCACTCCTGGCGGTGCTCAGGGGACCATATGGGATGCTGGGAATCGAACCCGGGTCGGCCGCATGCAAGGCAAACGCCCTCCCCGCCGTGCTATCGCTCCAGCCCCCATGTTTATATTTTTGGTATGCAGAGGCTTCTCCTAGCGCAGTGCTGGGGACTCAACCCAGGGCTACAATACCCAAAGCATCTTCTCCGGCCCCTGGAGCCACCTCCCAGGCCTAAGGTTCTGTTTCTTTCATGAGGAACTGAAGTACTGGTGATGGGGCCATTTAGATCCAGGCTGAAAACACGAACGCCACGGGCCTCCGCTTGCTGCTGCCTTACCGTCTGCGGGCGGCTGAGGTGGAGCTTCTCTCTGACTTCATCAGACAAGGAGATTTCCCTGAGCGTCAAATAGTCTAAGTCTCCGGGCAGCTGGAGAGCTTCATCTCGCTGAACTTCCTTTATTTCTTGCTGCTGATGGAGCAACACTGATTCATAGGTGGCTGGAGAAGAGCAATAACAAAGTGCTATGATACTCTGACTATTTTATCAGCTTCTGCTTTTACAGCTTCTTACACGTTACAAAAAGCTTTTGCGCGTAAGACCTCCTTTAACAGAAGCCCAGCACCGAGGTGGCTCAGAAAACTCAGTTTAAGAGAAGAGAGACAACATCTTGAATAGGAACAACACAATCTGTCTGAGAGTGTTCTCTTTCCTTTAAAGATTCATAAAAACCACAGGTTTGAAAGAAAAAGAAATGGGGCTTGGAGAGGTAGCACAGCGGGGAGGGTGTTTGCCTTGCACCCGGCCGACCCGGGTTCGATTCCCAGCATCCCATAGGGTCCCCCGAGCACCGTCAGGAGTGATTCCTGAGTGCATGAGCCAGGAATAACCCCTGTGCATCGCCAGGTATGACCCAAAAAGCAAAATAAATACATAAATAAATAAATAAATGAAAATAAAAATAAAGGTTAGGGGTTGGAGTGATAGCACAGCAGGTAGGGCGTTTGCCTTGCACGCGGCTGACCCGAGTTCGATTCCCAGAATCCCATAGGGTCCCCCAAGCACCGCCAGGAGTAACTCCTGAGTGCAGAGCCAGGAGGAACCCCTGTGCATTGCCGGGTGTGACCCAAAAAGCAAAAAAACCAACCAACCAAACAAACAAACAAAAAAAAAGAAAAAAAGAAAAAGAAATGATTTTTGGGGGTGGGAGAGATATCACAGGGGTAAGGAGCTTCACAGGGGTAACGTGCTTGCTGTGCACATAGTCAGACCCAGCTTCAATCCCCAGCACCGCCTATGAGTTCCTGAGCGATCCCTGAGCACGGAACCTGCAGTAAGCCCTGTACACCACTGGAGATCCCACCCCCCCACCCAACCATAATAATAATAAAACATAAAAATAAAAGAAATAGCTCTCTTGGTGAAAATTTTGTGGAACAGTCCCCTTACCAGGCTGTGTGTTTGAATTTCAAATTCGAAAGACAGGATTTTCTCCAAGAGCACTGGGGCCAGAGATATCAATCAGCAGCCGAGTGCTTTAAGCATAAGAGATCCTGGATCCTATGCGAGGCGGTGACAGGCGGGGAGGGGGGTTGTCCTCAATAAAAAAAATAAAAAAATACCAACTCCTGCCCCCGCTAAAATGAAATCCAGAAGAACACAGAAGCACTTTCCAGATATGTAGTGTGCAGGGGGATCTTGTTAAGAGGCAGCAGCGTGTCCCAGTGGGTTGAGGGGAGTCTCAAACCACCGTCCTCCTTTCTTTCTTTTTTCTTTATTTAAAATTTTTTTTTTATTTTTACTTTTTTAAAAAAATTTTTATTAGTGAGACACCATGAGGTACAGTTGTAGACTTACAAATTTTTGTGCTTGGGTTTCAGTTATACAATGATCAAACACCCATCCCTCCACCAGTGCCCATTTCCCACCACCACGGATCCCAGTATCCCTCCCATCCCACCCTGCCCCAGTGGCAGGGCATTCCCCCTTGTTCTCTCTCTCTTCTTTTGGGTCCTGTGTTTTGCAAGACAGGCATTGAGTAGCAATCATGTTTGGTCTACAGACTACTTTTAGCATGCTTCTCCCACCCTGGGAGGGTCCTCACAACACCCTTTACTTGGTGCTCTCTTCTCTATCTGAGCTGCCTTTTCCCCTAGCACGTGTGGCTGGCCTCCAAGCCATGGAACAAAATTCCTGGTACTAATCTCCGCCATTCTTGGGTGTTAGTCTCCTATTTTGTTACTTTATGTTCCCCAGATCAATGCAATCTTTCTATGACTGTCCCTCTCTTTCTGACTCATTTCACTTAGCACGATACTTTCCATGTAGTACCACTTGTATATGAATTTCATGACTTCATCTTTTCTAACCGCTGCATAGTACTCCATTGTGTAGAGGTACCAAAGTTTCTTTAACCAGTCATCTGTTCTCGGGCACTCAGGTTTTTTCCAGATTCTAGCTATTGTAAAGAGTGCTGCCATGAACAAACAAGTGCAGATGTCACTTCGACTATACATTTTTGCCTCTCTGGGATGTATTCCCAGGAGTGGTATTGCTGGGTCAAATGGGAGCTCAATTTCCAAGCTGCTTTCTGATGCAGACCCAGGAGACCCATTCTGCGTGGCACAGATGCAAAGCCTTTGCTAGTCTCACTGGACTACTGAACGGGCATCTTGACAGAGCTCTTCACAGATCCACAATTCATTCATTCATAATTTGCACAAATGGAAAAGGAAGCAAAGGCACCTTAGGGAAGAAAGTTATCCTACCTTCAATTTTCAGCCTTTCAGCTAGCTCTCTGCACCCAGTGTACTTCTTCAAGGGCTCCGGAACAGCTTTGGCTAACAACTCCATGTCAACTTCCTCATACTTCAGAACATCTAGAGCTCTGGGAAGACACAAATGTTTTATCAGCCATGTTTCCAATATCATAAGGCAGATTCAGAATAGACTCCTCAGAAATAACCAAGCCTCATAATATTTATTATCAAGATATGCTCATCGAACAGTGAACAAATAGAACAGCGAACACATTCTGCACACCTGTAGCAGGGTCAGAATGCTGGGTACTGAGAAAGTACTCAATAACATTACTGAGTACTTTCTCCATTCCTGAGTACTTTCTCCCAACTTCTTTATCCTGAGAAATAATAAAGATGGCCCTGCTATGACCCATTTATCATTCCATCCTTGCAAGGACAGACTATTCTCTGACGGGACTGATTTATTTCTCTAGGAGCTTACATGTTAAGTCCCTTATCCTGTAAATAAATCTAACTTCTAAGTGCTTAGTTTTGGTTGGAGCACTGACAGGATCCAACCAGGTCTCAGTGCACTTTACCACTGAGTCACATCCTCAGCACCAGCCCAAGGAGACCTTCCATTGGCTCCAAGGCTATAAAAATATTCTGAAATATTCTTCTCACTTGGTCTGGTTCTCACAAGTCCTAAATAATCTGTATACCTTTCTTATATTTATTGCCGTAACTCACATTATTTCTATTTACTAAATTAAATTTTCTCATCTTTATTTTTTTTAATTAAAAAAAATTTTTTTTGAAGGACCACACCGGGTGATGTTTAAGGATCATTCCTGGCTCTGCACTCAGAAATTAATCCTGGAGGTGCTCAGGAGATCATGGGGGATGCTGGGAACAGAACCCAGGTCAGCCGCATGCAAAGCAAGTGTTCTACCCACTGTACTATCATTCTGGTTCCCTCTTTCCCACCTTTATTTCTAGTTATTTATTTATTTATTTATTTTGCTTTTTGGGTCACACCCAGCGATGCACAGGAGTTACTCCTGGCTCTGCACTCAGGAGTTACTCCTGGCGGTGCTCAGGTGACCATATGGGATGCTGGGAATCGAACCCGGGTCAGCCGCGCACAAGGCAAACACCCTACCCGCTGTGCTATCTCTCCAGCTCCTTTCCCACCTTTAAAAGATCACCTTTTTTGATAACTGATATCCACTCAAGACCAATTAAACCAATATATTATCCAAAGAGCAAAAAAGACCTGCCTATCTCAGGGTCCCAAGTCTGCTCAGGCCTCCCAGCCAACTACTGGCCACTCATTCTTACAGTCGTGCTCTCCTCATTTCTTCACCAGACAGCGTGTTCTGGGACAGTACTATCATACTCTCTCTAAAAGGAAGCAGGCAGCTCTGTTGAGCATCAGGAGATGTTCTAAGTCAAGTAATCACTGAGACCTCATCATCTCAGTCATAATAAAATTCACTGTTAAAATAACCTTAAAAGAACCGTAAGCTCCAAAAAGGAAAAGGGTTGCCCTCTCAGAACATATAACATAAAACCCAGAGCTGGAGATGCAGCAAAGTGTAGAGAGCCTTGCAGGTGTGAGGGGATTCAACTCCTCCTGGGAAGGAGGGATGGAAGGAGGATGAAACACAATTCATGAGTAGTCAAAAGAGTCATCTTGAAGTCTAGCAGAATGGTGACTGCAAAAGCTCTTGCTTGTGGGGCCAGTGCGATCATGCAGCAGGTAGGGCATTTGCCTTGCATGTGGCCAACCCCAGTTTGATCCCTGACACCCTATAGGATTTCCTAAGCACTGCCAGGAGTAAACCCTGAGCACTGCTGAGCGTGGCCCCCTAAAACAAAACAAACGAAAAAAGCTCCTGCTTGACCACTGAACTTAAAAAAGCAATTTGCAAGACTCAGAGCTATTCAAAGGTCCAAAGGGAAGAGGCCTGCATTGAAGCAAGCCTCAGCTTCAGACTAGAGCCCTGGCACGGAAAGGAACTAATTCGCAAATTCTGCAGCAGACAGGTGCAGACCTCCACCATCCTGACAGAAGAGGTGTGTGCGTGCACATCTGTGAATCTCCGCTGTTCAAATGTCTGCTTCAAGTTCTGATTCAGCTGCTCGGAGGGGCCTCCGGCACATGTGCAGAAAATGCCATCGATGTATCAAGTTTCTATCCTTTTGACTTTAGATATGTAGGTGATTAAGAAAATAAGTTAATTGTGGGGCTGGAGCAATAGCACAGTAGGTAAGGCGTTTGCCTTGCACGTGGCCAACCCGGGTTCGATTCCCAGCATCCCATAGGGTTCCCTGAGCACCGCCAGGAGGAATTCCTGAGTGCAGAACCAGGAATAACCCCTGTGCATGGCCAGGTGTGACCCAAAAAGCAAAAAAAAAGTTAATTGAAGGACTGTTAATATTCTGAAGCAGGCATTTAAACAAGGGAGATGTTAATCAACAATGGAAATGTAAGAGCCCGGCAAGCTACCGAGAGTATCTCGCCCGCGCGGCAGAGCCTGGCAAGCTCCCCGTGATGTATTCGACATGCCAAACACAGTAACAACAAACGTCTCCAATGAAGACGTTACTGGGCCTGCTCGAGCAAATCGATGAACAACGGGAGGACAGTGACAGTGACAGGAAATATGAACACTGCTTCTTCTAAAGGGAAAGATAATTGGGCCACAGACAGCAAACCGACAGCTAATGTACTCTGTGACAAGATGCTCTAAGACCCCAACTGGCCACTCTCAAAAGACGTGACTGCATGACCTAGTAATTCCACTAGTCCCACTAGATAACTGATAACAAAATACACTAATTCAAAAACAGACATGCATATCCACTCAAGCACTATTCGCAACAGTCAGGATGTGAAAACAACCTAAATGCCCGTCAATAAATGAACAGATAAATAAGATGCAAGATATGTACACAACGGAGCATGCTTTGGCTCTTTATTAAAGAAGATGAAACCTCACGGTGCGTTGCAACATGGGTGGAGTTTTAGCCTGGGCTTTGGGAAGTTCCCAGGAAAACAAAAACTTGGAGGGCCGGAACCACAGCGCAGCAGGCAGGGTGCCTGCCTTGCACCTTGCAACCTGGGTTTGAGCCACAGTTTCTTGTGTGGTCACTCCTGTGTATCACCAGGACTGATTCCTGAGTGTGAAGTCAGGAGTGACCCCTGAGCACCGCTGGGTGTGGCCCAAAAAGCCAACAAAAAATTAAATGAAAAAAATAGAAAATAAAAAACTTGGAAACAGGGGCTGGAGAGATAGCACAGCGGGCAGGGTGTTTGCCTTGCACATGGATGACCCGGGTTCGATTCCCAGCATCCCATATGGTCCCCCGAGCACCGCCAGGAGTAACTCCTGAGTGCAGAGCCAGGAGTAACCCCTGTGCATCACCGGGTGTGGCCCAAAAAGAAAAATAAAAACACACAACTTGGAAACAGGTAACAAGGCACTACAAGGAGATGAAAGCTAAACAGGGCCACCTTGTGCTGGTGTGTTAACTGAAGAGAGAGCACTTGGAAAGATTCGAGAGAGTGCAAAAGCAGCATACAATATGAATACATCTTTGAAGTCCACAAGACAAATTGCTGTGTAAAAACAAGAACACACCGGGAGGCCATGGCCATGTGATGGCACACATGTCACACACATGCGTCTAAGCTGGGGTGGGTGGAAGATTCAGGCCTTCTGAGCAAGGCCCTTATGCATGAGTCTAGGAAGTAAAAAAGCTTTATTTTAATGTCCTGTAGACTCAGAGAGTCCAAAAAGCGCCAAAATGATAATAAATAAATAAATAAGGCTTTACAAAAACCCTTAAAATGTAGCAAGGGACTCTTCGAGAATGTCTAAAAAATGTATAACAGTTGGGGCTGGAGAGATAGCACAGCGGGTAGGGCATTTGCCTTGCACGCGGCTGACCCAGGTTCGATTCCCAGCATCCCATAGGGTCCCCCGAGCACCGCCAGGAGTAATTCCTGAGTGCATGAACCAGGAGTAATTCCTGTGCATCGCCGGGTGTGACCCAAAAAGCAAAAAAAAAAAGGGTAACAATCGACCCAACCACAGGAGGAGTTTCTGTTACTGTTCCCGGGACTGTCCCCTGACCATTCCAAATGCTCCCTGGCCAGAAAGAAGGCAGAAGACAACGACGAGGCTTCTTGGCTTGTACTCGCTGAATATTAAGAGAGCCAGAATTCAACAGCCGCCATATGGGGGTGAAGATATGTGCATAAAGTTAAGTTATTCCTTTTTTGTTTTTTGGGACATATCCTGCAGTGCTCAGGGATCACTCCTGGCGGTGCTCAGGGGACTGACTATACAGGGTGCTGGGGATCAAACGTGGGTCAGCCAGGTGCAAGGCCAACGTCCTACCTGCTGCTCTTGTCCCGCACATAAAATATAGAACTACAGATATATTTTGTTTTGGGGGGAAACCTGCAGAAGAGGTTCAAGAGGCCCAAAACCACACAGCAACACTGAGCTGGTCAGGATGCTGAACAGCTTAGGTCTCCGGTGCTGGGGACAACCAGAGCCACATCCCATGATGGTGCTCAGGAGCACCAGAGACAACACCATTCGGTGCCAGGGATTGAACTGGGGTCCCATGTACCAGTGGGACCTGACCCTGGTCCCACCGTTGTGGCCACCAGAATCATATATACTTTTAATACTGAATACAGAGATGTTACATTTAAAGGATTCTGAATGGAACAAAGAAGTTGCTCACTGAAAATGTGTAGGAAGGGGCCCAGACAAATAGCCCTGTGGGCTGAGTCTTCTTACATGCAAGAGGTCAGAGCTCAATCCCTGGCACCACATGGTTCCCTGAGTACCATCAGCAGCAGTACCATCCTCGGCACTGCCAATGGGGCACCCCTAAGGGTTCCTGTGTAGTGGGGAGTCTACAGGCAATGCGTCTGGCATGATCTCATTTTTCTGGAAAAAGTAGGTCACATTAAAATGCCTACCTGAGAGGCTGATTTTTACCGGTACTTATAGAAGCCTCAGGAATGAGGCTTTTCCATTTGATATTTGAAAACTCAATGGATTTGAGTACAGAAATGCCTTCCTCTAAAGAAGACCTCATCCAGGAAGCCCGTTCGTAGCGCTTCTGAGACACACAGCCGGCTTCCTCGTATCCTAGGAGAGACGGGGAGAGAAGTCAGGCGAGAGGGCTTTAGGGCGACAGCTCAAACCGCGGGACCCAGGGACAAGTACCTCGAAACGTGAGCCTGCTGTCAGCATTGTCAGGGCGCAGTGACAAACGGAACTCCGCTCGGCTGGTGAACATGCGGTAGGGCTCGTTGGTGCCCTGAGTGGTGAGGTCATCAATCAAAACTCCGATGTAGCCTTCGGTCCGGCTGATGACAAACGGAGGCTTGCGCCTGACCCGAAGACTGGCATTGATTCCAGCAACCACCCCCTACGAGAGGACTGAAATGTTTACAGCGCCATTACCAAGTGCACACAGTTCCTGTGCAGAACACTGCTTGGGGCAAAAGAGCACGGCACCCTACAAAAACGGGGACCTGGCTATGTGAGAAGAGCAGAGAAACAAACTGTGATGCTATTCATTTTCCTGTTGCTGTTTGTTTGGGGGTTCCCCTTGGGAGATGCCCAGGGGCTATTCTCAGGAACTGCTCCCCGGAGAGCCCAGGGGACCATGCAGTGCTCAGCCTTCCTAATCACCTCCTCTGGCCCCGTGCAAAAGTGGATGATGGGGAAAGACGATGTTATTATCACTCAAAAAAAAAAAAAACAATCTAGGGGCTGGAGCAATAGTACAGAGGGTAGGGCATTTGCCTTGCACACAGCAGCCTGGGTCCGATCACTGGCATCCCATATGCACCACCAGGAGTAATTCATGAGTGCGGAGCCAGGAGTAACTCCTGAGCATTGCTGGGTGTGACTCAAAAAGCACCATCCCACTCTCCGCCCCCAAAAATCTACCTGCTAGACTTTTTTAGTCTTTGCTTACAAGAGAAAATTTCACGCTTCATACAATTTTCAATAGTCATATTAATATATTTTTCAATAATACATATAGCAGGGTCTGGCAAACTCCTTGTGGCGTACCCATATGCCAAATACCAGTAACAATGATGGGTCTCATTCTCCTAAGCCTGAAAGAGCCTTGAATGTGGCACTTTTTAGAATCTCAGGGCTAGGACGAAGGAGACGTTACTGGGGACTGCTCGAGGCAATAGAAGAACAACAGGATGATCATGATCGTGAATAATGCATGCATTGTACACTGTCCTCCCGTTGTTCATCAATTTGCTCGAGCGGGCACCAGTAATGTCTCACAATGTGAGACTTGTTACTGTTTTTGGCACATAGAATACACCACGGGGAGCTTGCCAGGCTCTGCCGTGCTGGCCTCTCTGAGAGGGATGGAGGAACTGAACCCAGGTCGGCTGCGTGCAAGGCAAACGCCCTACCCGCTGTGCTATTGCTCCAGCAAATTTTTCAATAATAACATTTTAAAAAAACTTGCAACACAATGAATCTAATCAAAATATATCAGACCTAGGAATTCAGAAAATAACAGAATCACAAGCACTAAAAATAATCCTAGTGTTTAGAGTAGCTATCTATCACCACACGTAATGGAAATAGAAAAAAGTGTTCTGAATTGTATCTATAATAGTTAACATAATAGGCTTTCAGACGGGGAACTCAAGTTCAATAGGTCCTTTCTGTCCACAGGAAAATTCGGAACCACTGCCTACCTGCGCGGCAGCTTCCTCATAACCAGTGGTGCCATTTATCTGTCCAGCAAAAAAGAGCCGCTGTACCAGGTGAGTCTCAAGAGAAGGCGAGATCTGACGCGGATCTAAGTAATCATACTGAACGCCGTAGCCTGAACGAGGACAAGAGGAAGAACAGACTTGAACCTGTTTCCAGATAGAGATACAGCGACTACCATTAAATGCTCTTCATCTTATTATTATTATTATTATTTTAATTTGGGATCATACCAAGAAGTGCTTGGGAGCTATTCCAAGATCTGTGCTTGGGGGACCAGAGAGAAATGGGGGTGAAGAGAAGGTCACTCCCGGGTCGGCTAAGGGGACTCTAAGAAGTACCGGGGATCAAACTGAGATTGGCTGCAGGCATGCAAGTGCTTGGACCCCTGCACTCTCTCTCCAGCCAAAGGCCATTTTATTTTTTTAATTTATTTTATTTATTTATTTTTGCTTTTTTGGGTTACACCCGGCAATGCACAGCGGTTTCTCCTGGCTCTGCACTCAGGAGTTACTCCTGGCGGTGCTCAGGGGACCCAATGGGATGCTGGGAATCGAACCCGGGTCGGGAACGTGCAAGGCAAATGCCCTACCCGCTGTGCTATCTCTCTAGCCAAAGGCCATTTTAAATGCATCAATGTTTAGTTTTGTCATCTGGGGCTCTAAGCCAGTAGCTGTGAATCTGTTTAGACAGTGAAAACCACCAATCGGAGCAAAGATCCCTCCAAGTGCCCCAAAACAACGCCTAGCTCCGGCTAAAGTGTGGTCTTTACCTGGCTGGACCATTTTGGCTTTCTCCAAGCCTCTGATGCAGGTGATTACTTTCTCCTGTAACTCAGCAGGTAGCGTCACAGATAACCCTTGAGGATAAATGAGGTCAGAGTCCAATCCTTCAGGTTCCAACCAAACCTGATGTAGACGGTTTGGAAAACGCAGAACCTTGGATTCAATGGAGGGACAGTATCTAGAGCAGGGCATTGAAATAAAAAAAAAAAAAATGGAATAAAACAAAAGAGGAATACATCATTCTTTACAATGTTACTGAGTTGACATGTTTTGCTTACCGGGGTCCTCTTGTAGTTTCTTTAATGTGATTATTGAGGTGAAGGTTCTCAAGGATAATTTCATCCACTTTAGGGTTGGTGTGAGTCAAATAGCAAGGCAGCTGATCTTCTGGCTAAAACACAGGAACCAGTTACATCTCTATTCTTCCTTGATACTAATTTGACTCTTCCTCAAATAAATCTACACTTACTAAATGTTTTGGGGTCACTGAGGGTTTGGGTCACACCCAGCGTTTACTCCTGGCTCTGTGCTCCGGGGTCACCCCCTAGCAATGCTTGGGAGACCATGACCATACGCGGTGCCAGAGATTGAATTGGGGTCAGCAGGATGCAAGGCAAAAAGGTTCTCTCTGGACCCCATTTTTTCTGTTTTGTTTTGTTTTCTGGGTCATACCTGGAGGTGCCCAGGGGTGACTCCTAGCAGTACCTGAGGACTATTTGGGGTCATAAATCAAACCCAGGGTCACAAACATGCCAAGTGCTCGGCCACTGAGTGTGGGAAGCCAAGAGCCCTCTCATAGACCCTGGCCGTGGTTCCCATGTTAGGAACTGCTTGGGACAGACATTGGTGACAGTCTCCCAGGGCTTCCTGACCTCAGGGATGCCTGATCTATAGCCACAAAACATCAGGCTGACAGTTATCTTATCTGGCCTTATCTATAGTGACCTCCAGGATGCATCTACTGCCCTAAGACCCTTTGATATGCAAATGTAAACCTCCAGGATGCACCTACTGCCATAAGACCCTTTGATGTACAAATGTCTACCTTGAATGTTAGGTAAAGCGCTTGTTGCTGACCTTACCATATATGGTTATATTGTTCTGCTCTGACTGGGCTGCCCCTACCCTGTATAAACAGCCCGTATCCCTTAATAAAGTGCTGTCCCTTTTTCTCTGTTTCTAAACTATACTCTGTCTCTTGTATCTTGTGTTCATTCAGTCGGTCCTTCCCTGCACCTACGGATCCTAGGGCCACCTCCGCGGCCGGAGAGTGGTTTAGCGGGGGCCCCCCCCCCTCGCAACTGAGCAATGTCCAGGGTCTCTAAACTGTAAAAAGGGATGTGGTTCAAGTGGTGGAACACATGTTTTGCGCGTGCAAGGTCACAGATGACAGTCCTCAGAAATGAAAGCTGAAGATCTCCGTGACTTATTCTTGAACAATTAGAACAAGATTAACTGTGTACACTACTGTCTTTACATACTACTATTTAAGACATCATGTATGCAATATCTGTGTCTATTTCTGGTATAGTAAATATGGCAGTTTATTCAGAAAATATGAATTTCAATGCTTACAGAAGTTTGTTTACATCATTTTGTAATTTTACTAAGGTCTTAAGTTGCTTCACAAATATTAAATAAGGGTCGGGAGCAATAGTACAGTGGGTAAGGTGTTTGCCTTGCATGTGACCAACCTGGGTTCCATCCCCGGCATTCTATAGAGTCCCTCAGTATTGCCATGAGTAATTTCTGAGAGCAGAGCCAGGAGTAACCCCTGAGAATTGCTGGGTATGACCCAAAAAAAGCAAAAAAAGAAAAGAAAAAATTGTTAACTAGGCAAAATTATTAAAGCAATGAGATCTACTTAAGTCTGAGCTTCTAAAGCAGTGGCTGTGATGAATCTTTTTAGGTAGTGAAAGCCAATTGGGGAAACACCCAATTACCACAACTGGCTAATACTTTTTTTTTTGTCCTTTGCTTTTTGGGTCACACCCAGCGACGCACAGGGGTTACTCCTGGTTCATGCACTCAGAAATTACTCCTGGCCGTGCTTGGGGGACCATATGGGATGCTGGGAATCGAACCCGGGTCGGGCCGCATGCAAGGCAAACGCCCTACCTGCTGTGCTATCGCTCCAACCCCTGGCTAATACTTTTTGTACCTGGAGTAATAGTACTGTAAGCTGAATCACAACCAACAACAACCGAGAAAAGAAAGAGTACACCTTGCTATGGATGGCCCGTATCAGCTGTAAAGCGACTCAACACCAATCACCTTACCTTAATCCACACAGTCTCATTGATAAAGCTGAATGGGGTGGATGGGTTATCCGGTGCCTGCTTGTTCAGGATGCTGAAATTAATAGACTCTTTGGCGATTCGTGGCGGCGTCCCAGTCTTCAGTCTTCCCACCACAAATCCCAGCTTCTCCAGAGTCTGAGCTAAACCTATGGAGGGCTGATCCCCGAAACGTCCCGCTGGATGCGTCTCCAGTCCAAGCATGACCACGCCTCTCAGAAACGTTCCCGTCGTCAGAACCACGCTGTCCGCATAGACAGCACTTCCATCCACTAGAGGACAGGAAACAGTACAATTGTGTTCCGTTAGGATGGAGCAAAACAAGATGTGAGAGCCGGTACAGGCCTGGTCACGTGGGAAAAACCCTGGGTTTGATCGCTAGCACCCGCTCCCCCCCTACCAAAAAAAAAAGTCAGAAAAAAATGTGTTATTACATGATTGCCACCCATTGCCTCTTTTGCAAACCACAACACCCAATAAGAGAGAGAGAACAAAAGGGAATGCCCTGCCACAGAGGCAGGGTGGGATGGGGGGGATGGAGAGTGGGTGGGATACTGGGATTAGTGGTGGTGGGAAAGGGGCGCTAGTGGAGGGTTGGGTATTTGATCATTGTATAACTGAAACCCAAGCACCAAAGATTGTAAGTCTACAACTGTACCTCATGGTGTCTCATTAATAAAAATTAAAAAAAAAATTAAAAATAAAATAAAAGTAAAAAAAAATGGGTTATTAGCAATTCACATATTCCTAAAATCACACCAGCACCTAAAAGGGGTCTCAGATCATTTTAAGCGCCAGGTGCTAGAGTTAGGTGAATATTATGTAAAAAACAAAACAAAACAAAATGGGGGAGCCATGCAGTGCCCTTGAGGAGGAAAACAGGCAGCTGGGGGCCACGAGAGGAGGAAGAGCAGCCCCTCGTCTCTGTTCTCTGCCCCTTTACATTCTTCACTGTGTTTTCCTGATGAACACTGTTTACTTAGGCAGGGAACCGAGCTCAATGGCAGAGCACATAAGAGAAAAATTTTTTTTGGGGGGGGGGCAGGCGGGATTTGTACTATCATGGCACTACACACTAACTCACTAAATCTATCATGTAAATTGATTTTAAAACAGAACTAAGATCATTATTTTACCACCAAATTTACCTGTTCACAAACGACCGCATTTAAAAACACAAAAAAGTGGAGGCAGTCACTGTGTCAAAAAATCTGGGGCTCCCCCCACGAGCGGCTCTCCAGCACGGCCATAACACCAGACACACAGAAACCAATCTCGTAATTATCTGGCTCTTTGCAGAAATCCAAAATCGTGGCCGTGTGACATTATATGGTTCTCGTAACCAGCTATAGAAAACGAAGTATTTCACAATGCCTTTTCAGCAATTCTGATTGTTTGGGGGGGGGGGGGGGGGGAATTCTAAACAATAATGGTGCATTTTTTTGTCGAAATAATGAATGTAATCAATGTAGAGAAGAGTTAAGTGGAAATCATCTGCCTCACAGGCATTGGGAGGGGTGGGAGGGGGGTATATTGGGGTTCTTGGTGGTGAAAAATGAGTATTGGTGAACGGAGAGGTGTATGATCATCATGTGACCAAGACTTAAACCTGAAAGCTTAGTAACTTTTCCCACAGTGATTCAATAAATAAATATAGAAAGAAAAAAAAAAACCTGGGGCTATTTGGGAAAGGTCTGAGCAAGCCTTTGAAAAAAACAGAGATACGGTTTAGTCTGTATATGCCAAATACTTCTCACTTACTATCATTATTACTTGGTAAAGATATGTTGCACTTAGTTTTGTGGAACAACGATGTAACCCACGGAATTTCTTTGGTAATCACGCTTTGAATGTGATTTCTTTTCTTTTCTTTCTTTCTTTTTCTTTTTTTTTTTTTGCTTTTTGGGTCACACCCAGCGATGCACAGGGGTTACTCCTGGCTTTGCACTCAGGAATCACTCCTGGTGGTGCTTGAGGGACCCTATGGGATGCTGGGAATCGAACCCGAGTCGGCCACGTGCAAGGCAAACGCCCTACCCGCTGTGCTATTGCTCCAGCCCCTGAATGTGATTTCAATACTACACGGCGAGAAGCACTTCCTGTGAAATTATTAAGTAACTGAATATCAGGGAAAAAATAAGGAGAAAAAAACTGTATTTAAATGATGAGATTCTCCCAACCAGCTCCTCTGTCCACTTTGCTCCTAGAACGCCAGCATTCTCTGAGTCTCCAGGGAGAAGGCCGTTCCCCACTCCCAAGAATGGACAGACGTCCATAGTTGGGAGTCGTCAATCATGAACAACTTTGTAGCTGTATACCATAGGGTGATTCAATGAATTTTTTTTAAATAAAAAAAAAATTAGGGAGTCATCCTATGAAAAGGTCAGTTCAGGAGGGCCGGAAAGACAGTACAGTGGGCAAAGTGCTCGCTGGCACACAGTCAACTGCGTTTCATTCCCAGGCATCCCACGAGTACCAAGCACCACCAAGAGTGATTCCTGACTCAAGAGTAACCCCTGAGCAATGCTAGACGTGGCCCCCAAACAAAACCCAAACCAAAAAAGGCCAACTCGGGTGTTTTGTAGTCACAATTAGCACCCCCCACTACCACGGCCCCCCTTGTCCTCTGACACCCAGCATCAGCTCCACCTTCCTGAATTCCCCCGGCAGGTCAGGGTACAGAGCTGGCGGTAACAAAGAAGTGTATCTACAGGGTGTCTGTCTACCAAGCAGTCCACAGTGAAGAAGCAGAGAAGGCATCACTGGCTGCCAAACCCTGTGAGAAAGCGCCCTCTGCTGGAAGGGTGCAGAAGTCTACTGGGACAGTCAGTCCCAGAGCTGGTCATGCCAGACTCCAACTTTTCCAGAAGTCCACTGAACTACCTTCTTCTTCTTTTTTTAATCTTTTTTTTAAATTAGTGAATCACTGTGAGGTACAGTTACAGACTTACAAACTTTCATGCTTGCATTTCAGCAATTCAGTCATACAATGATCGAGTACCCATCCCTCCACCAGTGCCTGTTTCCCACCACCAATGATCCCAGTATCCCTCCCACCATTCCCACCCCATCTTTCTCCCTCCCCACCCCACCACTGTGTCAGGGCATTCCCTTTTATTCTCTCTTTCCTTTTGCGTGTTGTAGTTTGCAATAGAGGCACTGAGTGGCCATTGTGTTTGATCTATGGTCGACATTCGGCATGCATCCCCCCAACCCGAGCGGGTTCTCCAAACACCCTTTACTCGGTGCTCCCTTCTCTATCTGAGCTGCCTTTCCCTCCAGCATTTGAGGCCGGCTTCCAAGCTGTGGAGTAAGATGCTCCAATTTCCCTCCCAAAGCCTTGGGACACCATTAGACAGGCTTCACTCTGAGATGGCCCAGATGATTCCAGAATATAAGCCTCATGAAAACCCAAATGAAAAGAATATGGTTGGGAATGAAGGGATAGAACAGCAAGTTGAGCATCTGCTTTGCAAGCAGCCAGCCCAGGTGTAATCCTTGGCATCGCACACGGTTCCTGGAGCCCACCAGGAGTCAGCCCTGAGTACCGCCAGGTAATGGCCCCAAAACAGAAAGAAAGAAAAGAATATGTTTTTTATTTTCATTGAGCTTCTCTCATCCATAAAGAGAAAACAAAACATCTTGCACGAGCAAACCGTCCCACTCTCTGCTCGGAAGCCAGTTTCCCACGGGGACCAGCGCAGTACCCAGCAGCAGCACCTACCCAAAACGACACCACTGACGCGGCACTTGCCGGGGTGCCCGGGCTCTGCCTCCTCGAGGATGAGGTCTTCCACTGCTCCCTCCTGGACCGTCAGCAGCGGGGTGCCCAGGAGCTCTTTCTGCCAAGAGAGAACGCGTGTTGCCACCTCCCAGGTCAAGAGCGCCCCTGGCTCCCGCTTTCCCGCACTCTTCTTTTTGGGTCACACCTGGTGATGCACAGGGGTTACTCCTGGCTCTGCACTCAGGAATTACTCCTGGCGGTGCTCAGGGGACCCTATGGGATGCTGGGAATCGAACCCGGGTCGGCCGCGTGCAAGGCAAACGCCCTACCCGCTGTGCTATCTCTCCAGGCCCCTCCCGCGCTCTTCTTACCTGCATGTTCTGCTTATAGAGCTTCCGATCGATCTGGGCCCTGAGACCCCACACGGCGGGGCCCTTCCGCCGGTTGAGGACCTTGTAGTGTACACCGGACTGGTCACAGACCCGCCCGCAGAGGCCATCCAGTGCATCCACTTCCCGCATTAAATGTCCCTTTCCGATGCCGCCAAAGGAAGGATTACAGGACATCTGACCTGAGCGGAACATAAGAAACAGCAGAAATAAATAAAAGACACGAGCACACCGCAGAGAGCATTTCGCAAGGAAAAGCCTGCTCGCTGATTAGAACCACCTTCATGCATTCGAAGAGGTTAAAAAAAAAATCTGAAATGGCTGGAGCAATATAGAGCTATAGGACAGCGGGTAGGGTGTTTGCCTTGTAAGCAGCCAATCCGGGTTCAATCCCCGGCACCCCATATATATTTTCCACTGCCAGGAAAATTCCCGAGAGCAGAGTAACCTCTGAGTATTACTGGATGTGACCCCAAAACAGGCAAACCAAAAAATATGGAACGAACTAAAAAGTACCAATTTAGGGAATCCCAGAAGACAAACACTTGCCCATGGTTTTCTTTTCTCCCCTCTCTTCTTTCTCCTTCTACTCCTTTCTTTTGTTCACGGGAGGGGGCGGGTGCTCATCAGGGGTGGCCAGAACGTTTGTGCACTGGAGGCCATGGATGGCAGGGATGGAACCAGGACCCTGTGTATCTCAGGTATGTGCTCCACGCTCTGAGCCATCTCACGGGTCCCCACATCCTCCATCTCTTTTTCTTGACCGGAACAAGAGACGCAAGTCTCATACATGCAAAGCACACGCTCTACCACAGGGGCACATTCCCAGCCCGCCTCTAGCTTCTTTAGAATCTTCTCTTTGGGGCATATTTTTTTAACTAATTCCCTTGGTTGCCTTTTCCTGGAAAAATACGGTTTCTGAAACCTGCACCTTGTAAATAAATCCTTTCCAGATCAAGCCTACTTTTACAAGTTCCCACAGGCTTGCGATTTATATTCAAGTTATGTCTTCGATAAACGCCGTCTACTCTATTTGGCAGAAAATAATGAATTTATCATAAGCTTCTGAATGGAGGTGATGTTGGGGCACACCTAGCAGTGCTTAGGGGCGATTCCAGCCTCCGTTCTCAAGGGTGGCTCCTAATGGTATTTGGGGACCCATGTGGCCCCAGGATCAAAGAGGGTTGGGCACATGTGAGGCAAGCGCCTTGAGCCAGAGAGATAGCATAGAGGGGAGGGCACCTGCCTTGCACGTGGCCAAACCCCGCTAGACCCCAGGCACCATGTGATCCCATGACCATAGTGTGTGTACAACCCCCTTCCCTGCAGTCACTCCCAAAAATAGGCTAGGGGAAAAAAAAAAAGGCAAGCACCTTCACCCCAGCACTCAATTTCCAGCTCCGAGTTTCCTAATTTTATTGGAGGTCTAAAGCAATATTACCACAGGTTTTTGTTGTTGTTGTTGTTTGTTTTTGCTTTTTGGGTCACACCCGGCGATGCACAAGGGTTACTCCTGGCGGTGCTCAGGGGACCAATATGGGATGCTGGGAATCGAACCCGGGTCGGCCACATGCAAGGCAAACGCCCTACCTGCTGTGCTATCTCTCTGGCCCCGGTTGTTGTTTTTATAATGGTGGAAGGTGTGGATTCCAGGTGAGCATGAGCAGGTGGGTCCACTGTAGCCACATCAAGCCCGTTATCTACGCAGGGAGGCTGAACAGTGCTGTGATCATGAGATTACCAGTGTGTGCAGGAGATCTGCCTCAACAACTCCGTCGTCTGTCGTGTAAACCCTGTGATTCCGGCAAGTGAACTGATGTTCTGCATTCCTCTTCTATTCTCACGAAAGGGGCAATCGTAGATTATTTTCTTCTTGAAGTAAGATGTTTGGGGCCAGAGCGGAGAGTACAGTATGTGGGTAGCATATGGCCAACATGGGTTCGACCCTCGACATCCCATATGATTCTCTGAGTCTGCCAGTAGTAGTAATCCCTGAGCACAGAGACCAGAGTCAGCCCTGAGCACTGATGGGCTGGCCTCAAAAACAAAAACAAAAAAAGATGGTTGATTGAGTCACAATTTCAATTAGGTAACACTCTCCTCCATAAGTCTTTGTGTCTGGGAGAGTTAGGGTCAATGTGTCTGGACTCAAAGTGATTTGTGGTAATCCGACTTCTGTTCTGGTGGGAAAGAGAGCCATGACGGGGGAGAGATGTTAGGGACTTTCTGAGTTTCTTTTCGTTCTTAGAAGAAATAGGAAGGCCTTTCGGAAATGGCTCAAAGGAATGGAGTACATCCTGTGCCAGCAGGAGCCCTGGCGCTGCATGAACGCCCTAATAACACATGGTACTGTAAGCACTGCTAGGAGTGGCCCATCCCCAAGCAATGCATCGGGGGTGACCTCAGGCAGGAAACAAATAAAATAAATAGATATGAGAGAGAAAAGGGGGTGTGGCGCAGTGATCAAGCACACACCGAGCATGCAGGGCCTGGGTTTGTTCCCAGTATCAAATACGAGAGAGAGAAAGAGAGAGAGAGAGAGAGAGGTCGCCTCTTAGGCATAGGTGATAGTTCAAAGGAGTAGGACATATGCTTTGCACGCTGAGCTCTACATTTGAACTTGAGCATCACACAGCTGGGAGCGACCCCAAACCAACACTGGATGTAGCAACAAAACAATCCCCAGCCTCATCTGATTTCTTTGAATTGTCTTTTTATATAAAAAATTTTTTTCTTAAATCCCACCAACACTGTTCCATCTCACTAAGACTGACCAAAGATCCCCCTTCCATTCTTGACAGATCGTTTTAACTGTTGTAGCTTGGCTACGTGTACTTCTGCTTGTTTGTTTGGCTCACATCTGGCAGTGCTCAGGGGCTACACACATCTCAGTGTTCAGGGGACCACACGTTCCAGGGACTGAGTCTGGGCCTCTTGCATGCAGAGCCTACATCTACTCCAGTGCTCCAAGCTATCTCCCTGGTCTTGCATTTTAAATCCTAAAATTTTTTCAGCACTGGGACTGGAGAGACAGAGGGTAGGTACCGTAGGTAGGGCTCTTGCCTTTCATGTTACTGATCCAAGTTTGATCCCTCGCATCCAATATGGTTCCTAGAGCACTGCCAAGAACAATTCCTGAGTGCAGAGCCAGGAGCAAACCCTGAGCATCTCTGGTTGTGGCCCCCAATCAAACAACACCCCCCCCCCCCACAAAAAAATTCAGCACCCCTAACACTTAAAAAATTCTCCTATATGAAGCACTTTCTCAAATGCTTAACATGTTACTATTTACATAAGTATCCTCACAGCAAAGAAAAATACTCCATAATATACTTTGTATAAAATCAGTTAACACAATTGTGAAAACCTGATTCACGGAAAGCAACCAATCTGCACTTCTGAGTTTCTAATTCAACATGTTATTCATTCACATGGAAATATTAAAATTTTTTTTCTTCTCAAATTTTCTTAAATTTCTTTTTGCCACACCAAGCAATGCTCAGGGGTTGCCTCGGTAGTGTCCAGGGAACCTTATTGTACCGAGGATCAAACCTGGTCTTCAACGTACAAAGTTTAGCCTTTGGGGCTCTCTCTGGTCCGAAACTACTACATTATTCTACTCTATTTAAACGATTAGAAGGGAGGCTGGGGCCTCACCTGGTGATGCTTGGAGGCTCCTCTTGGCCTGTGGGCTCTGTTTGCAGTTGTTTCAGGTACCATATGGTGCCGGGGACCGAACCCAGGCCTCCTGCATGCACTCAGCCTGTTGCAAGCTCTCTCCAGTCCTTTTCAAACTATTTTACTGAAACTAAGTAGAAGCAGTGTCTTGAGCTCCCAATTACTGACTCAGATCCGACCTCATTCATTCATGCATCGCTTCGAGGGGGTCACAGTCATGAGAGCTGGGGAAAGAGAAGCCTGGATCACTGGGAGATGCCTTACCCGGAAGTGGAGAGTGTGGTTTGGTGCTTGGGCTCAGCCATGAACACAGAGCTGTTCTGGTGGTCACCAGGGCTAGGCCCAGCAATGCTTGGAAGACTTACTATGCTAGCGATCAAACTCAGGACCTCACAAATGAGTACTCGAGCTATCCTTTCCCCAATCTAATTATATTTTGGGGTTTGTTTTTTGGTCACACTGGGCAGTGCTCAAAGACGATAGCCAGGTTGGCGCTCAAGGGATTATGTGGTCCCAGTGGTGCTGGCGACCAAACCAGGGGCTTCCACACCAGAGAACATGTGCTTCCAAACCTTTGAGCCATCAGCTCAGGGCCCCAATATTATAGTATTATTATTATTTTTTTATTTTTGGGTCACACCCGGCAATGCACAGGGGTTACTCCTGGCTCTGCGCTCAGGAATTACCGCTGGCGGTGCTCAGGGGACTATATGGGATGCTGGGAATCGAACCCGGGTTGGCCGCGTGCCCTACCCTCTGTGCTATTGCTCCAGCCCCATTATAGTATCTTTTATAGTTACACCTCCATCTCCATCTCTCTCTCTCCCCCGCCCTCCCTGTCTTTCTGTCTCTCCCAAATATGATATCAACTGTAAATATTTCAGACAATGGCTTTTTGTGTGCAAGGAATTGAACTCAGAGTCACATACAGGTTGAAGCATGTATTCTGTCACTAAGCTACACCCCCAGCCAGACAAGGACTTTTTTGTTAGAGAAAAAAACTGCATACACAATTACTTAATTGCACCCAAAACACCTGAATTGTTTATTAATGAATAGTTAACCAAAACAGAAATGTGGACTATTACCAAATATATTTTCCCCATTACTCTGTGCGACTTTCAAATAATCCTCTATCTTTAGAGAGGACACACTTCAGATTGTCAGTCACGACACAGTAACTTTCCTATGATTTTTTTTTTTGGAGGGGGGGGACTGTGATATTCTGATTGTACATAAAAGGTTTATTAATTCAATCAGTGCCTAAAAGTTTGGTATTAATGAAGTGCCGGAGTTAGTTTTTTGTTTGGGGACGACACTCAGCATTGCTAGGTTACATAAAACTGTAAATTCCATGTAAATTCATGTACTAGATCCAAATTCAGATTGTCTAACTATCCCTTTAATGGTTAACATCCCCAAAATGTGAAAAGTATAGGCGATGTTGCATAGAAAAAGGTTTACAGAGCTTTTCTCTATTGCAGTAGAAGACAACAATAGTTTGCAAAACAAACAAACAAACAAAAACCCCAAAACATTACTTTTGGGCTACAGGGAACGCTTTTCACGTGGTATTTAATCCCTGGCACCCATGCTACCATGAGTCCCACCAGAGTGACTGGAGCAGCAAGCCAGGAAAAGCCCCCAAGAACTGCAGTGTGTACCCAAATCCAAAACGAACTAAAAAAACCCCTATAGTGTTCCCAGTTAGTATAAATGACTTTCTGATTTCATTATTAACATATGATATGACCAAATCAAAACAAGTTAGTTCCGGCATTCTGTATTCCTCTGGAAGTTCAACCTAAATTAAAGTGATAACTTTATGAGTCGAGGCCAAGTAGAAATGTACCAAATTACCTTAAAATTTTGGGCCTAAGAAACATACAGTGAGTAAGAATGCAACTGACAAGGGTCCAGAACCTTGTGTCACATACGTCACCCGGGATTGATTCCTGAGCACTGAGCCAGGAGTAAGCCCTGAGCACTGCTGAGTTCTCCAAAAGAGCCATAAAAATAGCTGTGAGATTGGTAAAGGTAAAGGCCCTCCCATTGATCGTCGATTTGCTCGAGCGGGCCCAGTAACGTCTCCATTGGAGACTTTGTTGTTACTGTGTCTGGCATATCGAATACTCTCGGTAGCTTGCCGGGCTCTCCGAGAGGGGCGGAGGAATCGAACTCAGCTCGGCCATGTTGGCCGCTTGTAAGGCAAACGCCCTACCCGCTGTGCTATCGCTCCAGTCCAGCTGTGAGATTAATTAAGAAAATTTAAGATTATGCTGTTTGTAGAATACAAACATAAATTTTCATGGGAATTATTCTATCCCTAACAGAACTAGATTACAAATACTGTGTAACGATCACCTTAGTTTATACGGATTTGTTAACTGAATTCTTTTTTTTTTTTTTTTGCTTTTTGGGTCACACCCGGCGATGCAAGGGGTTACTACTCCTGGCTCTGCATTCAGGAATTACTCCTGGTGGTGCTCAGGGACCATACGGGATGCTGGGAATCGAATCCGGGTTGGCCGCGTGCAAGGCAAATGCTCTACCCGCTGTGCTATTGCTCCAGCCCCGGTAACAGAACTAGATTACATACACTCTGTAACGATCACCTTAGTTTATACTGATTTGTTAATTAAATTCTTTAATTGGCAGTACCAATCTTTATTTTTCAGACATGTTCATATCACGAAAATGTTTAAGCAAAGTAACTATCATGCGCAACATCTTATCATCTCATTCCTACTTTGGACAAACTGGCAGGCTAACAAATGTAACCTGCCCACACGGCAGAGTCTGGCAAACTCCCCGTGACAGACCCAATATGCCAAATACCAGTAACAATGATGGGTCTCATTCTCCTAACCCTGAAAGAGCCTTGAATATGGCACTTTAAAAAAAAAAATCTCAGGGCTAGGACGAAGGAGACATTACTGGTGCCTGGGCAATCGACGAACAACAGGGTGGTCGTGATCGTGAACTATCACTCTTAAAGCTGAACAATTATTAAAAGCTATATTAGTATGCATATGTCACTCACTCACAATTTTAAAAAAATACGATTAATAGTTCAGTACTGGAGCTGGAGTGATAGCACAGCAGGTAGGGCGTTTGCCTTGCACGTGCGGCCAACCCGGTTCAATTCCCAGCATTCCATACTGGTCCCCTGAGCACCGCCAGGGGTAATTCCTGAGTGCAGAAGTGACCCCTGTGCATGACCGGGCGTGACCCAAAAAGAAAAAAAAATAGTTCAGTACTGTTTTCCTTTGCCTAAAAAGCAGTAAGCAATACACAGACGTGCATCATTGAGTGATGCTAAAAAGTTCTGTGTGTGCGTGTGTGTATATAAATCACCGTTAAATCTTCTGCACCGGTGAGAGACCAATCATGCAGGAGAAATAAGAAATATAGCAGCAAGGAACAAAACACAGCATCGTTCCACAAAAAAAAAAAAAAAAAAAGGGCTTCATAAAATCCCGAGAAAAGCATTGCAATTACTAGCACCGTGAATTCACACCTGTCCAAAGCCACAAAGAAAATGACAACATGAACTACCAGAGAGTTTGCATTTTTTTTTTTTTAATGCATAGTTTCCCATCAAGGCACCGGACCCTCCCGACCCCCGTTCCTGCGATCGGCCACATCCCGGTCCTGGGAATTCTGGTCCCCACACCCGCCCCATCACTCCGCGCCCCGAATCTGGGGGGGGGGGGGGAGGGGGGCGGGGAAAGGACCGTGGGATGATTCCCCCGAGCTGGGTTGGGGGAGGTGGGGTGGGGGTGGGGAGGCCTGCCGGGAGCTGCGGGCTGCGACCCCCGGCCGGCTCGGGGGTCTCACCGATCGTGTCCACGCGGTGCGTGAGCAGCAGAGTCCGGGCGCCGCAGCGCGCGGCCGCAGCCGCCGCCTCGCTCCCCGCGTGTCCCCCGCCGACCACCAGCACGTCGAAGCGGGGCGTCCGGGGCGCCGCGCAGTCGCCGCTGCTGAGCCGCGCCCGCCACGGCAGGTGCAGGGAAGCCGCCACCCAGCGGCCGCAGCCCCGCAGCGGGACCATGGCCGGCTGGACGGCGAGAGTCGCCCGAGGACCGCAGGAACCGGCCGGGCGCCACAATGGCACCCCCCGGGCCGAGGAAGGAAAGGCCTTCAGGGCGCAGCCATCTTGGTCTGACGTCAGGGCGTAGTGCGCCTGCGCGCAGCGGGGCCGCTGATTGGCGGTCTGGGGGACAGCGGAGCTGTCAGTCCTTGCTCGAGGCGGGATCTAAAAAGCCTCAGGATGAATGAGGCCCTTAGCCAAGGAAGGTAGCAGTCAGGGGCCAGGAGGACTGGCCTGGCTCGGAAGCTCGCCACCGCTGTGACGATAGTGATTAGAAAGGATCACTCTGGACAAGAACTGAGTGATCAAGTGGGTAAAGGGATAGACAGGATAATCTTTCAGTACCTGTATTGCAAACTATGAAAGAGGGAGAGAGAGAGAGACAGAGAGACAGAGACAGAGACAGAGACAGAGACAGAGACAGAGAGGTGCCTACCATAGAGGCAGACTGTCGTGGTAGAGTACGTGGAAGGAGGGAAATTGGTGACTTTGGTAGTGTAAAATGCACATTGGTGACGGGAGGGGTGTGGAATATTGTATGGGACTGAAACCAAGTCATGAACAACTTTTTATTTATTTTTATTTTTTTAAATTTTATTTTATTTTTTGCTTTTTGGGTCACACCTGACCATGCACAGGGATTACTCTTGACGCTGCACTCAGGAGTTACTCCTGGCGGTGCTCAGGGGACCCTATGGGATGCTGGGAATCGAACCCGGGTCGGCGGCGTGCAAGGCAAAAGCCCTACCCGCTGTGCTATCGCTCCAGCCCCATGAACAATTTCTTAATTATGTGATTTAATTTAAAAAAAATAAAACTTGGGCAGCATCACTGTGCTGATGATCTCCCCAGCTTCTGATTTTTTTTTTTTTTTTAGCTTACCTTTGTTTACCTGCTGCTCTAGGATGGTATCCACCCAGCCTTCTTTCATCCTTTCCGGAGAGTTGCATCTATTAGTGCCAGGTGCCTAACTACATGTAATGAATATGATGACTTTACCCGATAAGCGAGAGACCTTGAATATTCTGGTACACTGTTAACTTGAACGTGATTATTTTGCTTTTAAGACTTGAATAGGAATAGATGGAAAAGCTCAAATATAATTGTGGGAAAATTTTGTCATGGCTAACAAAGGGGACCACACAATGTCCTTGTATATTTTCAAACATAAGTATGTTTTTGCTTTTGATTTGTGTGTTTGGGATCACACCCAGTGGTGCTCAGGGATTACTCCTGGCTCTATGTTCAGGGATTGCTCCTGGTGGGGTTTGGGAGATCCTATCCAGTACCAGGGATTGAACCGTGGTCGGCCACATGGCAAGGCAAGTGCTTAATACTTGTGTTTTTTCTTTCTGGTGGAATCCTTTTAAACTTCTGACACCCTATGGGAAAAAAATGAGTAAAAGTGTCATTCCTTTATATATATATATTTCTAAATTTTAAGTATAGGGGCTTGTGGGCCAGGGACACTTCTAGCAATGCTGGCCCTGTGTTATGCCTAATGGTTTGGTGCTCAGGCCCAGTATGCAAGGCCAGATATGGACGGGGCACTAGATCCACCCCCAATAATGCTGGAAGTCAACAGAATTTTTTTTTTTTTGGGTCACACCCGGTGATGCACAGGGGCTACTCCTGGCTCTGCACTCAGGAATTACCCCTGGCGGTGCTCAGGGGACCATATGGGATGCTGGGAATTGAACCTGGGTCGGCCGCGTGCCAGGCAAACGCCCTACCCACTGTGCTATTGCTCCAGCCCCAGGAGTCAACAGAGTTTTGTACACTGGATTTGGAATTGGGTTTACTGTTTGACATGTGTAACATTCAAGGCAAGAACTCTGTGTCTGAGGTTTAACTTGGAGATGTGGGAACATACGAGCAATTACTTAGGGGCTACTCCAGTCTATGTCTTCATTGTGTGAGAGTTGCTCTCTGGGGACCAACAGGCGCCATGTGGGTGGGTGACAGGGATGAATGGAACCGAAGTCTGCTGCATGTGAAACATACACTCAGCCACTTGGGCTACCATTTTTTTTTTTGGATACCTGTAACATTTAATGGTAAATATTAATTTTACAAACTATGTATTCCTTATGTAAAATTCTAGAAATACATTACATAAAATTATAGCAACAAGTCTAATGTTACATTCAATATCTATATATTTTATAGTTGTTTAGGAAAAGAGAGACTATAGTTAGTATGAAAAGACACTATCCTGAGTGGAGAAAATTTTTTAAAAAATTTTTATTAGTGAGACACCATGAGGTACAGTTGTAGACTTACAAATTTTTGTGCTTGGGTTTCAGTTATACAATGATCAAATACCCATCCCTCCACCAGTGCCCGTTTCCCACCTCCATAGATCCCAGTATCCCTCCCACCCCCCTATCCCCTCATCCCACCCTGTCTCTGTGACAGGGCATTCCCCTCTGTTCTTTCTCTCCTTTTGGGTGCTGTGGTTTGCAAAAGAGGCATTGAGTGGCAGTCATGTTTGGTCTATAGTCTACTTTCAGCATGCATCTCCCATCCTGGGAGGATCCTCCCAACACCCTTTATTTGGTGCTCCCTTCTCTATCTGAGCTGCCTTTTCCCCTAGCAAGTGCGGCTGGCCTCTAATTCATGGAATAAACCTCCTGGTACTTATCTCGGCTATTCTTAGGTGTTCGTCTCCTATTTTGTTACTTTATGTTATGAGTGGAGAAAATTTTTGCATAAATGCATCTATGCATCTTGTTGACAAAGGATTCCTCTCCACATACATCCCTTGTCATGCCACTGCTCATGGATTTGCTCGAGCGGGCACCATTAACGTCTCCATTCGTCCCTGTCGCATGCTAGTGTAGTCCAGTGCATCTGCTCACTCCAGGAACACAAAGAGCATCAAACCATTCGTTCAGGGTCTTGACGAAGAAGTCCGACCATCTTGTAGGTGGGCGGCCAGGCGTCCTTTTGATGTTCACTTGGGCTATCTTTATGGACCTAATATTTCAGCTAGGTGGGGCTGCAGGCGGTGGGTCTTTGGAGGATTCGAGAGGTGGTCAGGGGTATCCTGGCAGTTATTAAGCATATGAAGATACTGGGGATATATGCTGGGAACTAAAGGTAAAGGCCCTCCCGTTGTTCGTGGATTTGCTCAAGTGGGCCCAGTAACGTCTCCATTGGAGACTTTGTTGTTACTGTGTCTGGCATATCGAATACGTCACAGGGAGCTTGCCAGGCTCTGCCGTGCAGGCGAGATCCTCTCGGTAGCTTGCCGGGCTCTCCGAGAGGGGCGGAGGAATCGAACTCGGGTCGGCCATGTTGGCTGCGTGCAAGGCAAACGCCCTACCGCTGTGCTATTGCTCCCCAGTGCTCTAAGACAGTGCCCTTGAAACAATTTTTTTGTTTGTTTTTTGGGGACACATGCGCACCGATGCTCAGGTGTTACCTCTGGCTCTGCACTCAGGATTACTCCTGGTGGTGCCAGGTTGGCAGGGGTGGGGGGGTGTACCATATGCAATGCCAGGGATTTAACTCAGGCCGGCCATGTGCAAGGCAACCACCCTTCCTGCGTACTATCTCACTGGCCCCTGACCTCTAAACTTTTCATATAAATCTTTGTGTCAGGTTGAAATAAAAATACGTAAGTTGGGTTTTTGTCTTGAGGTTTGGTTTTTTGTTTGTTTGTTTGGTGTGTTTTACTTTTTTTTTTCTTTCCTTTTTTTGGGTCACACCCGGCATTGCACAGGGCTTACTCCTGGCTCATGCACTCAGGAATTACTTCTAGTGGTGCTCGAGGGACCATATGGAATGCTGGGAATCGAACCTGGGTTGGCCGCATGGAAGGCAAACACCCTACCCGCTGTGCTATCAATCTGGCACCTGTTTGTTTGTTTTTAAGTCATATTCAGTGATGCTTAGAGATTACTGCTGGTTCCACACTCAGGGATTTCTCCTTGCAGTGCTCTGAAACTTTATGGGATGCTGGGAATTGAACGCAGGCCACCCGCATGCAAGGCGAGCACCTTACCCACTGTGCTCTCTCCAGCCTCCCAAAATATCACTGTATCACTGTCATCCCGTTGGTCTTTGAATTACTCAAGCGGGCACCAGTAACATCTCTATTCCTCCCAGCCCTGGGATTTTAGCAACCTCTCCTTACTGTCTTTCCCAGTAATTGGAGGTTCTTTCTGGGTCAGGGGAATGAGACCTATTGTTGTTACTGTATTTGACATATCGAATACACCATGGGGAGCTTGCCAGGCTCTGCCCTTGTGGGTGGGATACTCTTGGTAGCTTGCCAGGCTCTCCGAGAGGCATAAATAGGTAGGAAGTGTCTAATGATGTGTTCGGAAAGCGGCCTGGAACATGGCGGTGGTTGGGCAGTAGAAGTCAGCTGCCAGGGCTGGGTCCCTTGGGGTGGGAAGGGCTCTCACCCATCCCACAGACTGGCATGGAGTCTGCCGCCCAAAATATTATGGTTACTTTATCATCCTACAGCCAACATTGAATTTTCAGACTTCTGTTTCGCTTGGGGGTCTCCCAAGCAGTGTTCAAGAGCCCTGAGGCCCCTCCTGGAGATTCTTAGAGGGTCCTGTGGTGCCCTGGGGTGACACCCCTGAGCTCTACCAGGAGTGATCCCTGAGCACAGAGCCAGGAATTGCCTCTGAGCGCCACCAGGTGGGAACCCAAACCCAATAAAATAAATAAATGCCTTATTTATGCTAAAGTTTGGGGGCTGGAGTGATAGCACAGTGGGTAGGGCGTTTGCCTTGCACGCAGCCAACATGACCGACACAGGTTCGATTCCCAGCACCCCATATGGTCCCCCGAGCACCGCCAGGAGCAATTCCTGAGTGCATGAGCCAGGAGTAACCCCTGAGCATCGCCGGGTGTGACCCAAAAAGCAAAAAAAAAAAAAAAAGTTAGCTTGCTACCATTTTTTTGTCGCGGGGACTGGGGGGGAGTCCCCCAATAACATCTTCCATCATCTTTAATGGAAAGCTAAAACTCACACT